CGCTGTCGTGTGGGCCCGCGTCATTCGATACCACGCAATCAACATGCAATTCGTGGCTCGTCTTCAAAATTTGGCATGTCGATTAAAAAAAAACAAAACCAAAAACAACCAAAGCAATGTCCAGAAACGTAAGAACCGGGCCATGGCGGCCCCCCCAGAACAAACACGCAAGCTCTGAGTGATGACATCGCTGCAGGAGATGTTACAAACAAGCAACAGAAGGGCTTTCTCGTGATTCATACACAGCCTCGATCGCCATCGCTGCCCACCGCGGTCTGTTACCTGCGCCCAATGCGCCACGTTCAAAATGTTGAATGACTTTGCCGCTCGTCGCGCTCCATCTATTTGATGGGATTTTTTTTCTCGGGATGTCACCATGACGACTTGATGAGCTCCCTTTAAGGAAGCGGCAGGTTGACAGTCAGACTGACTCACGCGTGTTCTGTTCTGACAACTCGATGACACCCGAAGACACTTTGGGAGATGTCTTCACAGCACATCTTGAGTGCGTGCTCATCGTGACCTTTCAGGGAAAAGCTTCAACCGCCACTTGTACGCGATCGACCGGTCGCCCGCCGTCTGGTCCCAAGTCGATCGCGGGTGAAATGGGGGGGCGGCTCAGCTCAGTTGAGTGTAAACTGCACCCTAAGCAGTCTCCCGGTTTCACGTTGACCCAAAAGTATTTAAAAATGAAAAAAAAAAAAAAAGGTCACCATTCACCTCCGGTGGGGCGTGACCTCCATGAGCGGAAGTCGTTTAGCGGTTAACGGTCTACAATTGAGCTGTTGGGATCGCTCTTTTTTCAACAAAAAAAAAAAAATTATCATTCTCATTCAGTTTGGAGCACTGGCAAAGAATGGTAATCCGAAGCGCCGGGAGAAGCGTTTGAAAACGGGTCACGTGAGCACGGATTGTGAGCACGCCACCAAAGTGCATCCCGCGCCACCGCGTCAGGTTCTCCCACGAAAGTAGGCAGCCATTTGCTTTTCCCAAACTCCCAAACTCTTGCGTCTTCTTCATGTTTCTGTTGCGCTCGTTTTTGGGGACGTGATGGCCGTCGCTCATCATGGCACCCGTGTGTCAGTGCGCTCACGGTTGCTCTTTCCTGCTCGGGAACGCGGGAAGCAAGAACAGGTGCAAGAGCTCCTCATATGAAATATGTTACTTCAAATGGTAACCAGGTTATCCTTTTATCACCTTGACAACGCAAAGCATCTGCGTTGGAACGCGTCATCAAGACTCTTAGCTGCACAGCTATATATATTTATATATATATAGGATGGATCCATTTATTTTTTGTTCCTCCAGTAAGTGAAAGAAACACTTTTCATTTCTGGTTGACTCATGTTGTGAGATTTGTGTCTGCAATGGGGATGTGACGAGAAGAGTCTTGCTCTTTCTGAGGTCACATTCTGACGACCTTCTCACCAGTTCATGGACTGTCCTTCCAAATAACGTCATTTTGGGTACTCACAATATAAAATATGTTTATGTTTAATATAAAATACACGTCAATTGTTGTTTTTCAAGCGGGGTGTGCGCGGAGGAGGGTCTGATGCCGCTCCGCAGGCAATTCAAATGTAGTCGCCGACTTTGGTAAATTTACATCCTGACTAAAAAACACGTCTTTGCGCAGATATACACTTAGAAGAACGGTTGACAAAATTCAAAGTTTCCTTTGGAAATGAAAAAGAAAGAACACAAAAATCCGACTTTTTTTCTCCTGAATTATATTTGCTACTTTAATATTCTTCGAAGCAACGACGAAAGCTGACCGTTAACTGGTCGCCCGTTTCTTGCAAAAGCCTGCCAACGAAATATTTGGCCGTCGCCAAAGGCACAGATCATTCCGTCGCCCGTGTTTTTTGCAGCATGTTCTTGAAGTCTCACTTACGCATTTGTCCGGATTTGGCGGCTAAAAATAACATGTAAAAATACAACCCTGGAAGCTTCCTTCTTGCCAACCCCCCATTGATCTCGCTCACATGCGTCATAATGAGTGCTGGCACAAGAGCACCCAGTGATTTTTTTTTTCCTTGCACATTAAGGACTAAAAAAAGAAAGGAAACAAATATTTTTTTACTCGGTGAAGAAACAAGATATAATTAGTGCTGGTAGCGCAGCATAGATTCAGCACATAAATGCATTTGTACATCTATTCTTGTGACATCCAGAGCTTTTTAAACATTAGGACACATTGGTACTATATAAGTAACAAAAATTCCAAGCTTTGCAATATATTTCTCAATCGATGACAGGGAGGCACGTTGAGCGACCGGTGAGCACGTCCGCCTCACGTGGGTTTGATGCTTGCGTGGAGTCTGCATATTCTCCCCGTGCCCGCGTAGGTTTTCTCTCAACTCTCAAGTGTATTTCTCGAGCACTTTCAAACAGCCATCGCTGCATACAAAGTGCTGTACATGGAGCAACTAACATATATACAACAATAAAGCAATAATCAGTAGCAAGGACGGTAGAAAGCAGCAAACAGTAAAACTAATCTCTGGGTACTCCCGATTTCCTCTCACATTCCAAAAACATGCACGGCAATTGGATTGGGTTGTCCCGAGGTGTGATTGTGAGGGCGAATGGTTGTCCGTCTTTTTGTGCCCCGCGACTGGCTGGCGACCAGGTCAGGGTGTACCCCGCCAGCCACGAGTGAATCGTCGTATAATTTGAAGCCAAGAAAGAGGTAAAGCGGGTCTTATTTTAACAATACTAATAATATTGCATACCAAACGGCACATTAGAAACTATAATAGCAGTAGGGCAGATCTTCATTTGGGTCGACTGCTTCATCCATTTGGACAAAACTGTGTACTTGGGTCGGGGTGAATCTAAGGCTGAGCTTTCTTCGGACAGTACTTTTTTTCCCCCATTCGGTCCACATTATATCTCACGTCCAGATGGACTACTGCCAGTCCTCCGAGGACTTCCTCAAGTTGTCCAGCAGCTTGCTGGACGCGACCTTAGCTCAGCAACTCCAAGACTCCTCAGCGGGTCCGACTCCGAGCCAAGGCGCCAACCGAGCCGCGCCGGGCCTCCTGGGACAGGGTCCCACCCGCACCCCGCTCTTCCAGGTTCCCACCCGCACCCAGCTCTTCCCTCTGGACATGCAGGTAAATCATTTGTCTCGAGGGAATGTTTTAAGATGCATGTGTTGTCCAATCAGTTCAAATTCAACGCTATCAGACATTTCTATGGAAGAAAAAAAAAAAAAATAGTCACGGCATTTTGCAGGGCAACCAGATCCTGGTCTACGGGCAAACGTCAACGTTCTCGATGGACGCTGCGGCGCCTCCTCTGAGTGGGATGATCAGCGGCGGCGCTTTTAAAAGTGTGGAGCACGGGCCCGCGGTCCTGGGAGGCGACGGCGGCAGCGGCGGCGTCGGCTCCGCTAAAGTTTTCATGTGCCACTGCGGCAAGACCTTCACGCACAAGAGCATGAGAGACCGCCACATCAACATGCACCTGGACCTGAGACCCTTCCACTGCCCCGTGTGCGGCAAGAAGTTCAAGATGAAGCATCACCTGACCGAGCACATGAAGACGCACACGGGGCTCAAGCCGTACCACTGCGCCGGATGCGGCAGAAAGTTTATGTGGCGGGACAGCTTCATGAGACATCGCTCGCACTGCGAACGTCGGGGAGGAGGCGGCGGCGGCGGCAACGATGTCGCCGGGGACGTCCTCCCCGGCCCGCAGCTCCTCCTGCCGCCGGGTGAAGGAGGTTTGCGAGGAGGAGGCGGCGTGTCCGCTACGTCCCCGCGTTTCCACCACGCCGCTACCGGCGCTGCGTCGGGGATATTTGGCAGCCTGCCGTCGGAGCACAGCGTGTGCACCGATCTCGCCGACGGCAGCTAACAACTGACTGCGAATGACCAAGCGCTAGCGACAACAGCTAACAACCACTGGAGACTGCGCGAGTGACTGCAAATATCCGCGAACCGCCGAAAACGATAGCTAATGACCACCGGGGGACGACGAATCATCGTTAGCGAGTGATAACAAGAGCCTGGCCAAGGACCTGGCTTGTTGCTAGGCGGAGATCATGGGGCCAAAGTGGCCCCGAGGTCCCGTTGCAATCTGTGGGAGATTTTCATCTCAGCTTGCGCGCTCTTTTTAAAATCTTCCCCTACTTGAATTGAACATTTGTGTTGGACTTCTCCCACTGGTGCTGCGTTCTGCTGTCAGTTTTTCCCCCCCTCTCCCTCCCCAGCAAATCCAAGAAGAAAATGTGCCGTACTTGAGTGGGGATGGGCAATGTAAGGCCTGCTGAACACTAGTCTTGTCATTTTGCTAGGATCCATTTTGCTGTGTTTTCCCCCCTAAAATGGGTTAGGCGTGAGAGGGAAGGATTTTTCTTTTTTTTTTTTTGTTTCCACACTGGCTCTCATAAAAAGTGCCGCCGCTGATGACGATGATTGATTTGATTCCCATTCCTGTTGCTGCTGCTGATGGAAGGCGAGTCGGCAGAGGCGCCGCTTGCCGCGAATGTATTTTAAAAGCGACGCCTCTTCGGGCTCATCAAAATGCTGTCCTCTCTTTTGTGTTCAGCGAGGAGGGCACGACACTTGGGGATTATGTCGGCATTTTGGTTTCAATGTTATCTTGCTCGTATCAGACAACCAAAATATAAACTGTCGTGTGTGAGTCCAAGTCCGCCACTTCAAGACAAAGATGTCCAAATATCAAATGGCATGTCCCGTTTTGCAGGGTGGTCACAAATCATCCATTTATTTATTTTTTTACTGGTTTATTTATTTATTTATTGGTTTGTTTATTATCTTTGGGGGGGAAGAGCGTGATGACATACTTGACACATATTTTGCAGAAGGCTGTGAGTCCGTTTGTTTGTGCCAAAATTAAATCCCGATCAAGGCAATCAAATGTTGACCTCTCTCGTCTCCCTGAATTATAAGATGGATGAGAATGTACTGAGTGTGTGTGTGTGTGTGTATATATTGTAGAGGTGCAAGAGTTTTGAGATTTCCAGGCAGGGTCGGGATCGGCTAAATATCATTTCAACTTTCTTCCCGCTTCATGAGTGCCGCACGCGCTCGCCCTCCGCCGAAAGCCTTTTCTGAGGCCTGAGTGCAAGGGGTCGCTTCCGTGTCGCAGTGTTGTGTGCGGCTTCGTTCGCTCTCTCGGCTCAACTTCGGCGGCGGCCCATTTCCTGTCGCCGGGTGACTGTAATTATGACATTAGTATTCGCTATTGAGCCGCAGCCGGAAGCGGAGGCTCTGGCAGACAATGACGGCCAATGCGGGTCATTGTCATTGCGGCGGACGGTCGAGCTACTCGAGGCATGCTCGCAAACTCTTTTCGACGTTTCACGATGGAGCCGAATCGTGGATGACAACGATACCTTTGAGCAGAGCATCGGATGAAACCGCCGGCACGAATGCCGTCTCTCGGTGGCAGATTTCGGCCATGTGTCTGTTGTGCGTGCTTCCTGGAAAATTTAAAAATAAATAAATCATAAGATTCCGGCCACACTTTCGCCGCGTGAGTCATTTAGGCCGTAGAATCACCGGCTCAGCTCAGTTGAGTGTAAACTGCACCCTAAGCAGTCTCCCGGTTTCACGTTGACCCAAAAGTATTTAAAAATGAA